GGGAAATTATGTGCATTTGGTTTAAAAGTAACAAAAATGCATAAAAATGTGCAAAATATTGCAATAAAATTTTCAACAGGAAAAATTATGGGAGTTAATAGCTAAAATTAATGACACGTATGAAAAGCTGCACGTATATGTGTACATGTAAGAAAAGATGGATTTGTGTTAATCACTCTTTGTATGTCCTGACGGTATTAAAGTAGCAGTCGCAGATTTACACATTTTTACATAATATTTATATATACAATTTCACGATGTGGCTTGGAATGATAGAAAACTTGTAGGATTATATCTTCATCACATGCAAATTTCAAGAGTACGGAAATATGAAACGATGGATTCTTGAATGTGGAATTATTGCTGATATAAAACCAAATAACAGTATATCATTGTGCACAACTCGTATACAAATTATTCCGTTCATGATTTTTATTGCAATTCGTAAGGAAATTATTTAAATCTCAATTTTTTTGAGATACACAAGCTTGTCAATGTGGACCATGTTTCTCATTATCATCTAACAGATCATATAAGCCCCAAGCTGGAAACAATCTTCTGATGCAGGTAGCGTGTACAATGAAACAATTCTTCTGTAAAATGTGACGTCAGGCTGTGGTGATACAGGATTTTTGATCTGCCAAGTCTTACGTCACATTGTGGAGTTATATACAAGTTGTGCACCAGACAATAATACACAAATACTGAAACATTCAAATGTAACTGTGTTTTTATTTCACCGAAATGAAAAATTCAATGGATTGAACAAAATGAATACATGTTGAGTTTAATCATTCTTTGACGAAACTGTGAATATATAATATATAACAAATATATAACTGCAACATCAAACCACGGAAATTTGAACCCTGTTCAACAGTTTGGCGTCAGAGAGTATATATAGCCCCGAGCCAGTCTACAAAGTCTGTTACTGATAGTTAAATAATAAAATGAAAAAAAGTTTGCTTGTTAATATATACATTATTGTATTGTATTAAATCTACTTAGCCAATCTGCCATGTTGGACATCAAACACAAGTAGATATTACTGAAATGTCAATACAAATCACATACTGTAGAATACTTTAGTTTCGCTAAAGGGATGATTCAGTGAAAATAAAATCCAGCAAATATACCTTTTGTTCCTATATTTTACATTCAAATCATCAACAATCAGTGAAAATATATTTTGCACAAAACACCCAAAATGTCTTTTCAGCGAAAATTAATTCCAGCTAAAATAAAGTATTTTACAGTAGCTAAGAATGACCAGCCAGGTGATAGACACCTCCACGCAAATTACACAACTACACGAGATCAACCAATAACTGGACATAAACTGAATATGCTCCTGTGTGTTAATTAATTGCTGTCGACTATAGAAAATGAATTGCGTTGATTAATTCCAAATTAATATCAGGACACTCAAAAGATTTTTACGTTGCTTGGATGTTTATCGATGAATCGATGATGTATTGGTAACGATAAAGAAAAATCCTGGTAGTTTACACATTAGCTGATACACTGCCGACTATTATAAACTATTACCATTTATTGATTTAACTTCACAAACAACAAGCATGTACAATGTTTCAATCTATTTGAGTGAACAGTTGCAAAGATACAAATGTACAAAGAACATGGTACACATGTACTGATAATTAAAAGCTGTTATCAGACATTGATCGACACTATTTACAAAATTTAAATCCATTTAATTTAAAATTTCAATGCATACATGTATGTGCATTTGTTCTTGGAATGTCAGTAGAACAAGATTCAACACAGATGAACATATGGAAAACAGACATCAGTATGATATCACCTCTCATTTGTGCTACGCAACATTAGAATGTCTGAAAAGAATGTGATTTCGTAAATGACAGATACGTTTGGGTGATTCAATAGACGATACAAAGTCTCACACTGTGAATAAATGCAATTGTTCATAACATGCGCTTCCATTAGGGAATATGATAAGTGTACTACGGTAATAAAGCAAAATACAGTAATCTCAAATACTTCAACCTCAAATACAATCTAACTTTAATTCCCGGTATGTCCTAATACTGATAGAGTAGTTTTTGTTTTATGCTTACATCCGCTGCGTCACCTAGCTCCCATGATATATATTTGAGACCCTGATAACACTGTTTATTTCTTCATTACAAGCCCAATGATAATCGGCATGATGTGGTAAATTCATAATTAATATTGATGAATAACAAACCCTTAATTACTCAACCATGATATGATAACAAGTTAATAGTTATTTCATAAAGCAGAGATCATTCAG